AGACATGCCCTTTTGGGTGTGAGTTCTCAGCGGGCTCCTGGACTTCGATGCGCAAATTGGCGTGCGCAGCTACCTTGAACTCATTGTCGTGCTAAAGGTGGTGGCGACCCCCAGCATGTTGAGTCGTTCGGGGCTTCTTCATCGGGCCCAAACGATCTTGAACAGGAGCTTTGCATCGTCCTTCAGGAAGTGGACTGAGGCGCTCCAAAACTGGCTTCTTCCTTCGGGATGATTCTGCATGATCTCCCGGAGAAGCTATTGGAATTACCGGCGACTTTGGTCGGCTCGCCGGAGGTTGAACCTGCTTCGAAGGCTGCACTGATTGTGCCTAGCCTGAATTGTCGCTTCAGACTTCGGCTTCCATACTTGACGGGTTGGTGGCGGCTTCTTGGCCACATCCTTCTACAGTCTTCTACGGGCTTCTTGGACTTGAGCCCGTGCCTGCGCTGATAGTGCGCGGCGCTTGCGAATGCGCTCCTCAAGTGTCGAACGGTTCCGTTTAACACGGACCCATTCGTTTGTTGGCGGCTTGGAGGAGTCGCCATTCATCGGTGGGTGAGGCTGTTTGCCTCTCCTGCTCTTCAGATCCGCGTGATAGCGGACTCCGTCGGTGGACTCTATCGCCTTTGTGAGTTGCCGCACAAGGCGTTGACGTCGCCTCTAGCGGGCTCTCTTCGAGAGAGTGACAACACCCTCAACAGTGGAGGCATCGGCGGGAGTAGGGTTGACCTGGTTGGAGGTCGGCGGAACTTCACCCGACGCAACTTTGGCGTCAGCTGGGGTGAGAGCCTCGTTGGCGTTCTGAACTTCTTCAAACCAACGAACTTTTCTCCTGGAGGAGAACTTCTTGGACTTGCGAGGGGAGGTGGATCCAGACGAGGATGACAGGTACTCCTCAAACTTAGCCTGGTCGAATTCATACTCGACCTCCTCCTCGACCGGGATTGAGATCCGCGGCTGCGACGCGACGATCTCGGCAGCGAGATCGTTGGCTCCCACTGTGGTCGCCAGATTGTTCGCGGGGAAAATTGTAGCTTTCATTGATTCCATTGCGCACTCTTGTAATAGCTTATCGATTATAAAAATCCGGTCTTTTTATAAGATCCGGTTACAACGAGATCAAAAGAAAAAGAAAATTACAACTCTTTCCTTATTTGCCGAACAAATCACGAGCTCCTGTTTTGCGGTCACTCGCTTCTGTGGGTTCTTCGCCTGCACCGAGGTTTATCCGTGGACTACCACGCGATCTAGATCCGATCGGATCTACGTAGTATGATGGGTATTATTTCGCAAAGGAAATAATAGCCGGGGGGGATTAATTCACCAAGGAAATAATCGCCCTAGTTCTCGGGATCAAAGGCCAAGCTTTGATCCGGAGGATGACTACGTAGATCTGAGATCCGGTTCCTCTCGAACTCTTGCCTTATTTGGCGTTGACGATCACCGAGCACCCTCGGAATCCCGAAACACCCCCAGGGGTGTCTCAGAAATTCCGAGACACCCCAGGGGTGTCTCGGAAAAGCCGAGACACCCCTAGGGGTGTCTCGGAATTTCCGAGACACCCCAAGGGTGTCTCGGAAATTCCGAGACACCCTAGGGGTGTCTCGGATTTTCCGAGACACCCCTAGGGGTGTCTCGGAATTTCCGAGACACCCCAAGGGTGTCTCGGAATTTCCGAGACACCCTAGGGGTGTCTCGGATTTTTGGAGACACCCCAAGGGTGTCCCAGATCTGTGCGGACACCCCTGGGGTGTCCTAGATCTGTGCGGACGCCCCCCTCTTGGTTTCCTATAAATAGGACCCCCTTACCTCATTTGGATGATCTGGATTTTTGGAGAGCCTCGGCGAAGCCCTGCTGCAGCAAACACTGATCGAGCACTTCAACCGAGGAGGAGAGGTCTAAATCAGCCTTCATCACCCGTTCTCATCTTTCCTTAGTATTAGCCTTTAGCGTTAATACTAAGAAGAGCTAATACCTCGCTTTAGCCGAGGTATACGCTTATAGCTTCTAGATCTCACGCGGATCGACGAAGCTCTGTCCGATATTTCTGGATCAGAAGTTTCTAGATCTCACGCGGATCGACGAAACTCTGTCCGATTTATCCGGACCGGATCTGATTGCCCCGGTGGTCCACGGATATCAACATCCCCGTCACAGGCCAAAGACCCACGCAAGCGAGACCGCACCAAAACGGGATCTCGTGTTTATTTTCGATAAAGTTGTAATCTTTGTTTTAGTTGTATTCTTGTTGTAACGTTTGAAGTTGTAACAGATTCAAAAGCAATGAAAACAGCGACTTTCACCGAAAACAAGCTGGCGACCACAGTGGGAGCCAACGGCATCGCTACCGACGCCGTCGTGACGCAACCGGCATTCAAGATCCTGGTGAATGAAGAGGTCGAGTACGAGTTCGACCAGCAGAAATTCGAAGAGTACCTCTCTTCCTCCTCCTCCAGATCCGCCTCTCCAAGTAGGCGCAAGAAGGCATCCTCCTCCCGAGTCGTTCGCCAGAACCTCGGCTCAAAGACCCAGAATCCCTTAGCCATGGCTGCACTCGAACCACGTGGCGTCTCCGCGTCGCCCAACGTGGTCGAGATCGCAGATCTGGGATTATCCTCCCCCAAGAAGATGGCTAATGAAGGCACTCAAGCTGTATCAAAGAGGGCGCTCCAAAGGCGGCGTCAACGCCTTGCTCGTCAAATGGCCAAGGCTTTGGAGCCTATGGATGGGGTTCGCTACAACGAAGATCTCAAATCGAGACAACGCCAAGAGCAACAACGGTACGTAACCAGCCCCTCCTCTAAAGCAGAAACGAACAAGTGGGTGCGTGTTACAAGGAATCACTCCACCCTTGAAGAGAGAATCAAGAAGCGCCGCGCACTACTTGCGCATGCCCGAGCTCTCTTGCAAAAAGCAGAGGAGATGCAGAAACAAGAGGTGGTCAAGACTCCGCCAAAACTCAAGCAGGTGTGGATGCTAAAGGCGAATCCAACGCCTAAGACAAGAATGGAAGAAGTTGCTGCCCAACCTTCACCAAAGCCAAGTCCTGTTCCCCTTACCCCGGCACCTCCGGTAGGGTCAGGTATGAACACGGACCCTTCAACATCCAGGGTTCCTGTGAAAGGTCGCCTCGGTCCCTTACCAGGGAATCGAGGTAAAGTACCTATCAAGGAACGATTGGGTCCGCTGAAAGGTCCCCAAGTTTCGAATCAAACTGGGGGTCGAATTAATCTCCCCAAAAAAGATGACAAAAGGAAAGCCCCTATCACCGACCGCATCGGATTGCGAGTCGAAATACAAGAGCCCGTTCAATTTTTATGCTCACAAAAGCGTAAACTTGAACGGGCTACTTTTGAAAAAGCTAACAAAGCATCGCATGCCCAAAGGGAAGCACACTCATCTAAGGATGATGGTGTTTCACCGAGGAACACATGCCAACACTCTATAGGTTGCTCCAGTTATCAAGCTGATGAGTTGTACTATAGAGCTGGGGGTATGGGAAAATCTCGAAAGAAGTATGTGCAGGACATGGAGTCTCGCTGCCCGTGCGCCAACATAATCAAGGCAGTGCTATCAGAATGCTGCTGTGCTCAAACCCCAAGGAGAATTTCGGTGTTCGACAGAATTTCACTAGAACGTCTGAGACCAAGCCTAAGCGTTTCCGAAGAAGAAGAAGGATAGTCAAAGACGGAGAATTCCCGAAGGTCACCATCAACATGGCCAGCAAAGGAGCATCGACAGGGGACAATCCCGATTCAATCCCGTTGGTACCTTGGTATCTAACTCATCTGCAGTCCGGAACCATTACACGAGGGACTTATGGTAGGGTTCAGACGAGATTACCGTCGGAAGACGAAGGATCAGATGCCGGCTCCGCGATCGCTTCGGACAACACGGTATCCAGCGAAGGACAACCCCGCGAAGTACTCATGATCA